TCAGGGTGTTTTGTTTATGTGCGTGTCTGCTCAGGGTGTTTTGTTTGTGTGTGTGTCTGCTCAGGGTGTTTTGTTTGTGTGTGTGTCTGCTCAGGGTGTTTTGTTTGTGTGTGTGTCTGCTTAGGGTGTTTTGTTTGTGTGTGTGTGTCTGTTCAGGGTGTTTTGTTTGTGTGCGTGTCTGCTCAGGGTGTTTTGTTTGTGTGTGTGTCTGCTCAGGGTGTTTTGTTTGTGTGTGTGTCTGTTCAGGGTGTTTTGTTTGTGTGTGCGTGTCTGCTCAGGGTGTTTTGTTTGTGTGTGTGTCTGTTCAGGGTGTTTTGTTTGTGTGTGTGTCTGTTCAGGGTGTTTTGTTTGTGTGTGTGTCTGTTCAGGGTGTTTTGTTTGTGTGTGTGTGTCTGCTCAGGGTGTTTTGTTTGTGTGTGTGTGTCTGTTCAGGGTGTTTTGTTTGTGTGTGTGTCTGCTCAGGGTGTTTTGTTTGTGTGTGTGTCTGGTGTTTTGTTTGTGTGTGTGTCTGTTCAGGGTGTTTTGTTTGTTTGTGTGTCTGTTCAGGGTGTTTTGTTTGTGTGTGTGTCTGTCTGCTCAGGGTGTTTTGTTTGTGTGTGTGTGTCTGCTCAGGGTGTTTTGTTTGTGTGTGTGTCTGTTCAGGGTGTTTTGTTTGTGTGCGTGTCTGCTCAGGGTGTTTTGTTTGTGTGTGTGTCTGTTCAGGGTGTTTTGTTTGTGTGTGCGTGTCTGCTCAGGGTGTTTTGTTTGTGTGTGTGTCTGTTCAGGGTGTTTTGTTTGTGTGTGTCTGCTCAGGGTGTTTTGTTTGTGTGTGTGTCTGTTCAGGGTGTTTTGTTTGTGTTTGTCTGTTTAGGGTGTTTTGTTTGTGTGTGTGTCTGTTCAGGGTGTTTGTTTGTGTGTGTGTCTGTTCAGGGTGTTTTGTTTGTGTTTGTCTGTTCAGGGTGTTTTGTTTGTGTGTGTGTCTGTTCAGGGTGTTTTGTTTGTGTGTGCGTGTCTGCTCAGGGTGTTTTGTTTGTGTGTGTGTCTGTTCAGGGTGTTTTGTTTGTGTGTGTCTGCTCAGGGTGTTTTGTTTGTGTGTGTGTCTGTTCAGGGTGTTTTGTTTGTGTTTGTCTGTTTAGGGTGTTTTGTTTGTGTGTGTGTCTGTTCAGGGTGTTTGTTTGTGTGTGTGTCTGTTCAGGGTGTTTTGTTTGTGTTTGTCTGTTCAGGGTGTTTTGTTTGTGTGTGTGTCTGTTCAGGGTGTTTTGTTTGTGTGTGCGTGTCTGCTCAGGGTGTTTTGTTTGTGTGTGTGTCTGTTCAGGGTGTTTTGTTTGTGTGTGTCTGCTCAGGGTGTTTTGTTTGTGTGTGTGTCTGTTCAGGGTGTTTTGTTTGTGTTTGTCTGTTTAGGGTGTTTTGTTTGTGTGTGTGTCTGTTCAGGGTGTTTGTTTGTGTGTGTGTCTGTTCAGGGTGTTTTGTTTGTGTTTGTCTGTTCAGGGTGTTTTGTTTGTGTGTGTGTCTGTTCAGGGTGTTTTGTTTGTGTGCGTGTCTGCTCAGGGTGTTTTGTTTGTGTGCGTGTCTGCTCAGGGTGTTTTGTTTGTGTGTGCGTGTCTGTTTAGGGTGTTTTGTTTGTGTGTGTGTGTCTGTTCAGGGTGTTTTGTTTGTGTGTGTGTCTGTTCAGGGTGTTTTGTTTGTGTGTGTGTGTCTGTTCAGGGTGTTTTGTTTGTGTGTGTGTCTGTTCAGGGTGTTTTGTTTGTGTGTGTGTCTGTTCAGGGTGTTTTGTTTGTGTGTGTGTCTGTTCAGGGTGTTTTGTTTGTGTGTGTGTCTGTTCAGGGGTGTTTTGTTGTGTGTGTGTCTGTTTAGGGTGTTTTGTTTGTGTGTGTGTGTTTCTGTTCAGGGTGTTTTGTTTGTGTGCGTGTGTCTGCTCAGGGTGTTTTGTTTGTGTGTGTGTGTCTGCTCAGGGTGTTTTGTTTGTGTGTGTGTCTGCTCAGGGTGTTTTGTTTGTGTGTGTGTCTGTTCAGGGTGTTTTGTTTGTGTGTGTGTCTGTTCAGGGTGTTTTGTTTGTGTTTGTCTGTTCAGGGTGTTTTGTTTGTGTTTGTCTGTTCAGGGTGTTTTGCGGACAGCAGAAACCCTCCGCAGGTTCCAGGCGGTGCCGGCTCAGGGTGTGCAGGCGTCTCCTCTGCTGCAGTATTTCGGGGTTCTGCTGGACCGAGGGCAGCTCAATCAGCTGGAGTCAGTGGAGCTCTGCAGGCCGGTTCTGCTACAGGGACGCACACCTCTGCTGGAGAAGTGGCTCAAGGCTGAGAAGGTGAACACTTCAGCTCTTCTGCTGACCTACAGTGCATCCTGAAAGTATTGATAGCGCTTCTCTTTTTCCACATTTGTTTATGTTACAGCGTTATTGCAAAATGGATTAAATTAATTGATTTCCTCAACATTCTACACACAATCCCCCATAATGACAATGTGGAAAAAGAGTTTCTGAAATTGTTGCAAATTTATTACAAATAAAAAGCTGAAAAATCAGATATCAGTATTTACAGCCTTTGCTCAATAGTTTGTTGATGCACCTTTGGCAGTAATTACAGCCTCAAGTCTTTTTGAATATGATGCCACAAACTTGCCACACCTGTCTTCGGGAATTTTTGCTCATTCGTCTTCGCAGTACCTCTCAAGCTCTATCAGGTTGGATAGGAAGCGATGGTGTACAGCCATTTTCAGATCTCTCCAAAGATGTTCAATAGGTTTTATGTCTGGGCTCTGGCTGGGCCAGTCAAGGACTTAAGGAGTTGTTGTGAGGACACTCTATTTATATTTTGGCGGTGTGTTTGGGTCATTGTCCTAGTAAGTGTAATTTAATTAAATATTAATAATAATTCCTTACATTTATATAGCATTTTCTGGGCACTCAGAGCGCTTTACACAATAGGGGGGAATCTCCTCATCCACCACCAGTGTGCAGCATGGGAGCTGCTTTGCCATATGGTGAATGCAGTAAGTGACTGTTATCATCAATAACGTTACTTGTTTAGCACAAAAGTTCAGAACATACAAAAACAGAAAAAAAACTTAATATTACCTATGAAATGTTCTGCCTTTGTGCTTTGTTTTCTTTGTTTGCTCGTTACCACACCCATAGACAGCGCTAAAGTCCCGCATCTTCATGTAATAACACTGTCTTGATTAGTGCGGTTGAATGACATTTGTCCTGGGAGCACTGTACCAATGTGGCGGCGCTATTGACGCATGCTCAGGGTCCCTATGCAATATCTAGTGTACATATCTATGCCAATAGACAACAACAGGGTAGGCGACATCTAATGTATATATCTATGTGGAAAGGCGGCTTAAAGACTTTTGCACAGTTCTGTATGTGTATGTATTTATATCAGTCTCTTGTGGGATAACCTTTTAGTTATTCTGAGAACAGGGATAATGGAAAAGAAAAGTTGTGCTAACTATGAGCATTTATAAATAGTAGTTAATGTAAATAAAGTTGTGCATTAATTATTATTGTTTTTAAAGTTTAACTTGGCAAGTGTTTTATATACAACCATCATATATATCTCATATTTTATATATATCTGTCCTGTTGTTGATGTTTTCCCATGATGCCGTGCAGCTGGAGTGTTCAGAAGAGTTGGGTGATCTGGTGAAGGCGGCTGACATCAATCTGGCCCTCAGTGTTTACCTGCGAGCCAACGTTCCTGCTAAGGTCATCCAGTGCTTCGCCGAAACCGCTCAGTTCCAGAAGATCATCCTCTATTCAAAGAAGGTACTAGAAGAAGGAAAATGAATGCACACCTGAGGAGTATCATTCACTACCCTCTCACTGTGCATTTTATTCTAATAAATCTAATCTTGAGCTTATGCACAGCCATCAGGATTTGTCTGACAGACGTGTGCTGTTGTTTGTGTAGATGGGTTATTCTCCAGACTGGGTTACTTTATTAAGGAGTGTGATGAGGACCGGTCCTGATCAGGGCCTTCAGTTTGCTCAGATGCTGGTTCAGAATGAAGAGCCGCTGGTGAACATCAGCCAGGTAAATCTACACATTCACCTGCAGGACACATCACACAATGTGACAAAGCGGAGCTTTGTCCCTGCTGAGTGAGCAGCACACAGCTCAAACAAATACATGCGCACACACACACATAGCATACACACACACCCATTCATCATCATCGCGACTTACCTGTTATCCTGCTGTTGGCAATGTGTGTGCACACACAGATCCGATAGCTCCTAGACATTCTTCCATAACGTATCTTCCACAGCATAACTCCATTACCGGTCTTACACACACATACATACATTATTTTGTCCTGTTTGTTGTCCGTGTCGATCGTCTGTTTGTTTGTTTGTAGAGTCTTTCTGTTTGCCTGTTGTGTTGGCCAACCAGAGCAGGCGGTGGCACCCGCTTATGATGCCATTGCCGGACGCTACAACACAACGTGGCGTGAATGGGTGAAACCATTGTAGTGCGTCTGATAGGGGGAAAATATGTGTTTAATAACAAAGTGTATGAGACAATTAAATATAGAGATTAAGTGTGTAAGTGTTTTGGGGAATATTTATTAGTGTTATTTATATGACAAATTATGTATTAAGTGTTTACATTTGAAAATGGAAGTACTTGTACTTAATACTTACCTAAAGTGGTAGGACCCAAAAAAAGGCGGGAGTTTGGCCTATATAAGCAGCGGCCAAACCCCAAGACCAGTCGCTTGTTAACCAAGTCTGTAAGAGCGTTACAGTGGTACCTCGAGCAAAACCCCTCCGTTTGTATATTGTGGATACTTATTTTAGTTTGTATATATATTTTTTCATCTTTATTTTTCTGTTTTGTTATTACTTTGTTACTTTGGATTTTTGGTATTTGGACACTTTTGTGTATATATATTCTTCACTGTGGACTGTTTCACCTGCCAGCACTTTAAATAAAACGCTGTGCACTGGAGTGCTATCGAGTACACCATCATTTTTTTGTGTGGTCCCCGAACCCAGTTTTCCCCACCAAAGCGAGCTGAGGCCTGCTCTGTCACATTTAATGTTTTCAAGTAATGCCAGATATGGATGTAAAAAAAAAATTATATATATGTATAGAAATATAAACATATAGCATATGTTCATATTTTTCCTATCATTCAAAATGCAAAATTATCAGGGGTACATACTGGATACAGTTATGTTTATCTCTGCAATCATTTTTAATCTTTATCATGCATATATATATATATATATATATATATATATATATATATATATATATATATATATATATATATATATA